AGACCTTGTACTTGCCAGGCAGGCACTTGTGCTGCTGAGCTATATCCCCAGCCCTGAATCTTTATCTTGATGCCTGACCATCTTTAGATGCACCTCCAGTTACAATTCTGATGTCTTTATTTTGTAATGAATTTATTGAGAGCCTAGTCCATCTCTGATTGTATATAATTTTTATCCAACTTAGCTGCCTATTATAATATTCTCAACTAAAGCCTCACACATCATGACCCAGAAGGAACTTGCATTATTACTTTGCCTTTGATTTGTTTTGTTTTGTTTTTGAGGAACTGGGGATTGAACTCAGGCCCTTGCACTAGCCAGGCAAACACTTATTCTACTGAGCTTTCTCCCTGGCCCTTTCTTGTCTTTGAGACAAAATACTATAACTGATACCCATAACTTAAAGGAGGAGAAGTTTATTTATGGATCGTGGTTTCAGTGGGTTCAGTTTATGGTCAGCTGGCTCCAAGGCACAAGTGCAGAAGAGCATGGGAAAAGAAAGCTATTCAACCCATGGCAGCAAGGAAGCAGGGAGAGAGAGAAAGGAGCCTAAGACAAGAGCATGCCCATTGAGTCATTGCTCCAGGGACTCACCTGATCCAACTAGGCCCCACCTCCTAACAGTACACTAAACCATGAACTCATCAATTAATCCACTGATGAGTATAGTGCCTTTGTGATCCAATCACTTTATATTTTTGGGGGACATTTTCGGTCTAAGCCATAGTATTTTATCCTTAACTCCCAAAAGGCTCATGTCCATCTCACCATGCAAAATGCTTTCAGTGCTTCCCGAGAGTTGCCAGAACCTCAACAGTTTCAGCATTGCTCAGTAGTTCAAGTCCAAAGTCTTCTCTGAGATTCAGGGAAAACTCTTAGCTATGAACCCCTATAAAAATAAAAAGTAAGAAATATTGCCAACATACAATGACAATGGCACATTATTCTGAAAGCGAGTAATAGGGAGATAGGAATAAAACCAAAGTATGACTAAAACCCAACAAGGCAAACATTAAATTTCGTAGCTTTACATCCAGCATCTGGGAGTGGTAAGATGTGAGTTTAAGTTAGTAAATAATTTAAAAATGATTCATATTCATGTCATTTAAATATAAAACCCCTTTTTCCACTAGAGACTCAGTGAGGGATGAGATGAAAGGACTAGCTGGATCAGGGAAGGGGATCATACTGTTAACAATTCTTAGCAGTTGCACCACCTCCAAAGCTTGTGTACACCTATCACAGAGAAGGCCTACATACACACTTCAATGTGGAGATATTTACAAAGATCGGTCAGCATCCTGGATTAGCTGATGTTTGATACTGAGTGTAGAAAGCAGGAACAGGCTGCCTGGGTCTTGAGGTTTCATCTCTAGAAGCTCAGACCTTTGTGCTGCTACAATATTGACCCATTTTTCAGTTAGGTTCTGCCCTCTAGGAGATGCTCAGGACCTCTTTGAGGACTGGTCAGAAGTTCTTTGAAGATTGGCCTAAAAATACGGCTTCATTTGAAGGGTAGAGGTAAAGCAGGTTTGGCCCTTTGTTCCCTGAGGAGAAGGGATATAAGGTCTGGTTTCTCTTCTTCCCTGTTTACAGCAGTATTGAGGGGTTCATTTCATTAGTCTTTACAAAGTCTCTGGAGGTTATCAAGTGTAAGGTGCTATAATAAGTGTGAAATTTAACTTCTTTTTCATCAAGGAAAAAAAAAAATCCAGGCTGCAGAGATTCAAGCACTGGGAATCAACCTGTAAAAGACAGGGACCCTATTGTCAACTTTAAATAAATTGCAATGGAAGTATGATCAGGCACCAAATTATCACAGCAAATCCTCTTAGAGCTTTTGCTATCTAGAAAGTGATCTGTAATAAGAACTGAGTCCAAGAAGGAACCAGGTTTCCCCAGCGCTGCCACCTCTTACAGATGAGGGCTTCCAATGGCCAGGTATTCTCACCCTCCCACCCAGAATATACCATCCTTCACACACAATCTCACCATCTGACTGTGCAGACCTTTTCTACCACCTCCTACCTCCCTGTCCTTTTAGCCCTACCTCCCTACTATTGCAATTATTTCTAGTGAGCACTGCTGGCCACATTATCCAAAAACATAGTCCCAGGTATTAACCTTTAAAGAGCAAAATGCCAACAGTGCTACACTATAGGGAGCACATCTTCTATTTAAAGCTTCTCTATTAATATCACAAGGTTCTAGGTAAAAAGAAATTTGCTTTAATAAGGGGCTAGGCATGGTGGTGCATGCCTGTAATCCCAGCACTCGGGAGGCTGAAGCAGAAAGACCATTGTGAATTTTGTAGGCTGGGCTACAAAGTGAGCTCAAGGCCAGCCTGAACTGCATAGGGAGACCCTGTCTCAAGAAGAAAGAAGGAAGAAAGAAGAAG